AATAAAAACGAATATAAATTTGTATTAAAAATTTATTCTTTTAATTCGCCTAACAAATGTTCTAAAATCATAAATGGTTATATTAAATCTAATTTGTTAATTATAGACAAATCTGTTGCAAACTGTTTCTTTTTTAATTCAAACAAATCAAATGACTTGTATTGAATGTAACTGGTTTATCTCAAAGTAACTAGCATAAATGTAAACTAACTGCATTCAAAACAACCGATTCCTTTAATAGAAAGTAATTGTTTTTTCAGTGTAAGTAGGCCTCTCACGGCCTAATTAGTGAGATTTAGTTAAAATACCTATTTTGGACTATATCAATGTCCGATATGTCAAATTATATTACAACTAAACCTAAATCCTTACGTAAATAGAAAAAGGGCAGAAATGCCTTAAAGAGGTCTAATAATTACAAAATGTCTTATTTTCTTAATAAAAAACCTTCCTTTCGTTTATCTCACTTATTGTTAGAGTTGTTCTATCCAAATATGTAAAAATATGTGTTCCATTTAAATTAACAAAGTTAACATCCGCGGCCATTTTGTTTGGACTTCATTTGTTTTTCTACTATCATTTTCGAAAACTTCTTAAAAAATCGTGCAACATTTGTATTTCACATTTTTTTATAACTCTTAAAAGTTAACGGGAGAGGTCACAATATAGTGAATCACCCTGTACATATTGCCAACCTTTTGGTTCTTCAATTGACATCGGAAAGATATTTTTTTTTCTAGTTATGTTCTAGTTATTAATGTCATTTATAGGTCTGATAAGTACTATTCGCAAATTGGGTATGATTTTTGAAAAATCTGTTACTTTTAATGTAATCAACATTATTATTTGGATTTATAATCAGATATTCTCAAAATTTTATATTTGTGGGTATTATAACATACCTTGCCACATTAATCAGTATAAGAATTGTAGAAATAGACCGATTAGGGAGAAATAATGATAAACTGACGTTTTATATTGCAGTAATATTGCACATCTTTGGGAAAGTTGCTTAACTGTTATCATAGGACGAAACATCCTTGCTCTTAAGAATTTTTCTGAAGTGTCCAAATGACCTCTCTAATTAGGCGAGTCAAATTGAAATAATTCATCATAATTTTTTTTCGCAAAAACAGTAAGAGTGATTACAAAGAGAAAATGAAATTTAATTAATCCGGGACTCGGCCCCCAGATGAGATCTTTCCTTTAGCAAGTCGCAATTTAATTTAATCTAACCCAATTGAAAGAACCGAACTTTTTGCCATTAGATAAGGTCGAGTTATATATGTAATATAACTTTTGTACATAAAAATACTTATCCCGTTCTCCCTCATTCGCTATTCATCTCGGCAGCCATTAATCACTACCACAAATGAGACGAAAGATTAAGCCAAGACGCTCGGATGTCAGACCGATAGAAAAGGCAAGTCAGTCCGTAATTATATGGCTCCGAGCCCTCCGCAGCAGTTATGGGATAGCATAAAAAGTAATGAATATTTTATTGTGAATATATCATAAGTCGTCATGTTGCTGACGGGGATCCTCAATAAGTCAATTCGCAATGCTGAAATAAGGAAAAATTAGTAATTGCGTATCTAAAAATTGGAGTTTAAACACATCTTTTCGCGTCTAAGCAAATGGCAGTCGATATCTTATGCAGGGTGTCTCCAAATAACACCGAAAAAATGTAAGGGGCGATTCTCTGATGAAAATTAATAAGGGTCTTTGACATAAATTTTTTTGAAAAAATCTCCCCTTAAAAGTTACGTCCCTCCAGAAATTAAAAAAAAATAAATGTTTTTCTTTTTTATCTTCCATGTGTATCAAGTTAAAGAAACCAAACTTGGTGAACATTATCTGTCAAAAAATCTACACTTTTTGAAATTTTTTCAACCCTGAAGTATTTTTGTAAAAGGTTGAATAATCATTTTTCTTATAATTTTTTTTTCGATAAAACTTTTTCCTTTTAAAAAATATGTCTAAAAAGCCCTATTCATTTACTATCTTTTTGATCTCTTCAAGTTTTTTTGAAAAGTTAAGGATTTATGAGAAAAAAATAAATGTATTGCAATGTATTTTTAAAAATATGAGCTGTGGATGTAGTTCTATGCTAGTCAAGGTATTAGCTGGCGGATTGTCAGCAGTCTTTGCCACGAGATGGTGCGCGCCACGTACATACATTTCACGCATAAAACTGGAAGATAGGCCGCGATCAACACATTATTTAATAAATACACTCGCGTTAAACAGCTCATCTTTTTAAAAATGCATTGCAATACATTTTTTTTCTCATAAATCCTTAACATTTCGAATGAATGGGGCTTTATAGACATATTTTTTAAAGGAAAAAATTTTATTGAAAAATAAATGTCATAGGGTTTGATTATTAAATACTTTTGGTTGTTTGGTTTGTTTAGCTTGATATACATGGACGATAAAAAAGAAAAACATTATTTTTTTAATTTTTGGAGGGGCGTAATTTTTCAGGGGAGAGTTTTTTGAAAAAAATGTATACCAAAGACTCCTATTAATTTTCACCAGAGAATCACCCCTTACATTTTTTCGATGTTATTTAGATACACCCTGTATATCAGACCGTATACGTATATTAATATATCTATAGTTTTTTCTACTTTCATACTCATAGATGGTGTTGTTGCGCAGAAATTAAAAAGTAGGATCATTTACTTACTAAACTTGTTATACAGGTAGTCCGGAAGTGAATGGATCATACTTCAACTGTAGTTTACTTGGATGCAAATAAACCGCTTTAGATTTCGCTATCTTAAAAAGTTACGGGATAGTGAGATAAAACCAGTGTAAAAGAATTAAAATAATTTATCATGCAATGGATTGAGAAATATGTAAAAAATATATATTATTATTCATTATTATTAGTATTACCTTTCTATCAGAAAACTGCAAAAATGTTTTTAAACACCTCTACAGGTTTCTTTAGACATTAAATGAAAAATAATCTAAAAATTTTTAAATTTCAGTCAGTCAAATGTCAAATTATTATAATTTTATGACAGTGATTTTACCTCACTAACACTTAATATACTCAAAATGTTAGCTTAGTCCGAAAAGTACCAGATTTCCTTGCCTATCCCGATTTTACATATTTTTATTAAAACCGAAAATTTTAATCCAGATGATTAAAATAAAAAAAATGCAAAAAAATTTCACATCTACTAAAATATCTTTGTTCTAGTGGATTTTTTAAGAAAAAATGTCTCATTTTATTAACCATAACTGAGTTATTTTTTTTAACCTATAGTAACTAAGCATTTCAATAAACCAAAAATAGACCTACTAGAGGCATGAATATTTTAGTTTTGATTGAATTAAGTATTTGTTAACGATAATGTAAGTCAAAAAAAATAAATAGATCGAAAATAGGAGTTATTATTTGTCCTAGAAATACCATTAAGTTATAAGCAGTGACTGAATTTCCAGAAGCCAGAGGCGCGCGGCGTCCAATTTCTGTGGTCTTCAATGATTCTTCTTCTTTTTTTCATTTCAGTGACTTCTGGTATACCTACCATTGATATAGAACTTTAATAAATTTTCTCATTTATTAGATAAATCGTTAAAATAAGTTTCATCACGAGATGTCAAGTCTCTAGGGATTTCTGAAAAATGTGAAATTTTTTTCGGGAAACGAAGCATGTCTGGACATTCCTTAATACAATTTTTTTCTATTTTGACCACCTGTATATTAAAATACAAACAGGGTGCTTCAAAAAAGTGCACCAACATTTTTGAGGTAAAAATGTGTGAAAAAGTATAAGTAATATAAATATATATATAAAAAAAAAAAATCATTTTTGTTTTGATATTTTTGAACGGGTAATAATAATTTGGTATTAAAATGCCATACCATTGCAGTTGTCGATGCCGTAGATTGAAGGAGTCAGAAGTGTAACTTCTGTGCCTTCAAAAATAGTTAAATTTTTGAAAAATTGAATGATGTTGGTTGAACTTTCTGTTAGTTTTGCAACAAGAATTATAGATAATCAAAATAATTTTAATTAATGGCTAATCAGAAAAGCTAAATGTAAAAGAGGTCGATATGTAAAAATGATAATAAACAAGCAAAAATTGAACACAGAAAAATATGTAAACCGTTTAATATTCTTATGGCATGAGTAAATAAAAAATGACATGAAACTTTGAAGACAACCAAAATACAAATAAAATTATAAATAATAATTTTCTCTAAAAAAGAATACTGTTATGTTTGAGACATGACACATCGAAAACTAACGTTAATCAAAGTCTTTTGTTATTTCTAATTAATTCCTGCTAGTAACAATCTTAGACTATGTCTACATATTTATTTAGTTTAATTTATGTTTATTTGTTACTGTTTTTGTATATTGACTATTTCGATTTCAGTTTTCTTATATATTGACCTAGTAATTAAAATTATTTCGTAAAACTGTAGCTCCTGGAGTAAAACAAATAAAAAGTTTATCATTGTGGAATTTCCTCTAAAATATAAGAAAATTCGAAATTTGACAAGAGTGTTTTCTTTTCATACATGTCAAGTAATAAACGACACAAATAAGTTTGCGTCTGAGATAGCTCCGCCTACAAATGCGCACTAGGCAAACTTCCAGCAGCTATCCCAAATCGCCGCGCCAGTTTTATTCCTTCTAGCTGAATGCATGTAGAAACGGAAACTTATTTGTGTCGGTCTTGTACGTATAAATGTTTAATAAAAAGTTATAGACGTAGAAGTTACTCTTTAATCTTGAAAACGGTGCGTTTCTAAACTAAAGTTAACACAAATTTAATCTTGCTGGAACAAATTACGTTTATATACCTGTTGTATTAAAGTAGGACGTGATCTTTATCAGTTTTATCTAAACGTGTTCAATATTTGCAGTTCCGTCTGTGCAGTAGATCGTCCTTTGTTCGACCGCACTAAAGAACAGGATACCGCTGGTCGTTTCAACACCGAAAGTAATTATTGACGCTGCAATCGCACTTACCTTGCACTCCACCCTGAGTGGTTCGTCTTTGGCCGCTCCCAGCACCCTCCTGATGATGCTGTCCCCGCACACCGGCTCGAATTTCACCCGGAGGTGGAAAGGCGGGCTCTTTGAGGTGCCCTCTTTGTTCGTCGCCTCGCAACAGTATCTGCCGGAACTGGCCCGACTTACACCCTGTAATTAAGAAGGTTGAATTAGAAGCTGGGTGTTGAGTTGTTAATAAAGCGCTCCTCTACTAAGGCGTGTTTCGCCTGCTAAGTCGCATTTTATGCTAAAATATTCTTTTTGGTGATGTAGCGATTAAGTCAGCTGAATTTATTACTTTATAAAGTCGGGGTACGTAACTTTGGGAGTCGTGAATGAAAAATAATCTAATTTATTTTTTACCTTTTTTTCTTTCCAAAGAAGGCAGTCTGGCAGATTTTTGCGAGACGTTAATTGTTTCGAAACCTTTTATCGAGATTAAAGTTGTTGCAAAAAACCTTTTAGTATCTCTTTAAATAATGCCATAATCAGGGGGCTAATTTTCTAAGCAACAGTCGAAGTGACAAACCATCCACACTGATAGACAGGGTGTTGGAAGTTTGATTGCCTTAATTTTAACAGACGATAGAATAAATTACAATAAACAAAAAAACTTTATGTAACATGGGTCCTAAACTCAATCATTTCCAAGAAAAAAATTATCAAAATCTCCAACTTGATGTACAAAAGTTCAATTAATTAAGGAATATAGACATAACTGCGTGCATAGAATACTATAAAATATCACTTTTTTAAACTTTTTTATGTTTAATTCTAAAAAACAATTAGCGTTGTAATAAATTTAAAATTCATATCGAACAATGTGGCAACGGCGCAGCGGTTTATTAACACGAGGCAATCACAATACGCAATTCAGTTGGTATCTGGATTCGACCGTGTCGGAGTGTTTTTGCGTACCACTATTTCCTTTTCTTGAGGTGTTTTCTAGCCAGTACGCGAAAATTGGATTCGAAGGTGTCGTGTGTGTATCGAAAATGGTGGTGGACATTTTGAGCATATGTTGTAATTTGTTTTCTACTTCTGTGTTTAAAAATTACTGAATTTTTGGTAAGTACCTAAATTATTTTTAATACGTACGATTATTTGGACGACGTGAATCTTTGGATACTTTAATTACATATTTTTCAAATACCTAATTGGATTAAAAGTTAAGTTCCCGTTTTAAGAGATTCATTATTACTAAAATTCGAGCTAAAACTTAAGCACAACACTTCGTACTATAAAATCGATACATTTTATTTTATTTATTTAAAAACTGGAAAACGATTGTCTTGAAATTTACTAAGTATTTACTAAATGTTTTACAATAATAGAGCTGTTTACATTTTTTCCGTAGGACAAGTCTGCTGCGTGTACACGTACCGCGGATCAGCAGGTTAAGCGCTGTTGTCACGTTGTGATGAAACTCCCCAATATTAATACTCGCTGTATTTTGAAAACTGTTAATCTTACGCCCCTGTAATATACAAGTTTTTTGTTCATTTATAATTACTCTATCTCCTGCTGAAGTAATGGCAGTCAAACTTCTTACACCCTGTATATAAATTCTAAATTATATTCTTTAATTTTAATTCTTATGTTTACCATGGAATTATAAAATGTATAATTATATTTTAAGAAAAAATTTATAAAATGTTAGTATTTAGTTACAATTTTAATCGGTATTTTTTTATTTTATTCTGATGGGGGATTAGGGACACTAACATTTGAAATTATGTTATGTTTACCATTCGATTGTTTTATATTCATTTATAGATACATTTTCTATTATTAGTTCCTATAAGTATTTATTTTTACTTTAGGCAGTGGCAGGCAGTAAAAGAAAATAATTTAAAATTTAGTTTACAATGTTATTTACATAACTAAATAGATTAACCTTATGAAACATATTAAAAAGGAAATGTTAAATTTGTAATTCCACTTGCAAAATTCGTTAGCAAAAGTCTGAATACGTGGGCTCCTCGTAGCTCGCCTCTACATTTGCAGTGTTTACAGCGGTGATCATGGTTACCGTCGCGCAGCAGTGAAAGACGGGGTGGGAATAGCGCATATTTACAATGCAGTTTGGACTCTGTTTAGTCCGACCGTAAGCAAATAACAGCTATTCATTGTTGTTTTTTAATCAACTTAATTTGTTCAGGTATGGTGTAAAATTGTGTTCCTTGTGCGTTTTCTAAAAAATTTTAAAAATTTGAATTGATTATAGCACTTGCAATGCTATCTATTCAAAAACCAATTGTGCGAGAAATACCAAACATTGAAAAATCAATTGAAAAGTTTACTTCGGACAAAAGCAGAAGAATGGACTTTGACTATAAAAAATAATGTTGCGTACATTTTCCCTATATTTCAATAGTACTTAAAATAAAACTACACAATTATATTTGATTTTTTTTCACTACATTGCACCTAAATTTTTCCGCCCTCCCTGGTACGGAAGTAAAGCCAATTTTCAAACACATTCATCAAATAAAGTTATCCAAAAAAATCCGTAAACAGTTGAGCAAATTTTCACTCAAAATCGATACAATTTTTTGTTACAACGAGTCCATGCCTAATTGTGTTGAAATAATAACACTATTCATTGAGTAACGTTTATTCAACTATTTGTTAGCTAAATAAATCTTATACATGGTATGGCGTGTATAATCTATAAAAATGAAACTACAGCTTCCTAACGGTGTTTGTAATAGAAAAGTATATTTTTGCGTTTTTTTTTCGTAAATTAAAGTTGTAGCTGTAGACCAGCCGCGTTAACAAATCGTCGTTGAAAGATAGAAAGATATTTTTCAATTTTTGGGGTAAATGCAAAAATACAAACTAAGAAAAATGGTGATTGAAAAAAAAACTGATACTTTATTATTATTATAATAATTAATAGTAATTACTATCTTAAATGCATTGTTGTTAGTGCAAGAGTTCGCAAACAAAACCACATCTGTAAGCATCTGTGGCTTGCCAACTGCGTGCACTAAACAAACTATTAAAAAATTAAATAAAATTTACCATTTTGAAAAAAATGTTGAAATTTATCCTCATTGGCGCTGAAACAGGCATGGCACCGACACACCCAATTTTGGGGAATATTTTGTCAAATTCCACGTATTCCCCTAATTGTGTCAGCAGCTTCAAGTATACGGTTTCGCAATTCTTCCACCGCAACGTGGCAATTGGAGTATTGTAAACCAATGACTTCAAGCGACTCTAAAGTTAAAAGTCCATTGGAGTTAGATCGGGTGACCGAGGTGGCCACGGCACAGAACCAAAGCGTCCAATCCATCGCTGAGGAAACATTTCATTCAAAAGTGTCGTTACTTCTCGAGTACTGTGCGGAGGAGCCCCATCTTGAAGATAAAACATGCGTGCCCGAACTTGTAATGCCACATCGTCAGGTAACCTGTTCTCCAAAAAGTCAGCATATGTTGGTCTATTTACTCGTTCTTCAAAAAAATAGGGACCAACAAGTACATCGCCTATTATGCCAGCCCAAACATTTACCGAGAACCGATGTTGAAAATGAGTTTCTCTAATTGCGTGAGGATTTTTATCGGCCCATATGTGCATATTATGGAAATTCACTTCATCACGGGTAAATGTCGCCTCATCTATTACACAAACATAAGCAGGAAAGTCTACTTGATTGGCACATTGCCGTAAAAATCATCTGCAAAAACACATTCGTTGATCACAATCCGGGGATAAAAATCTGTTGAACTGGTTACAGATGATAGGAGAGCAACAGCTGGCGCCTTCAGGTACGAGATGAGGTTCCTACTTGCTGTGCGAGTCGTCGAGTACTAATTGTGGGGTGTTCGTCAAGATTTTCCAACACTGCATCTTCAACATAAAGGTTCACTTGCTGACCACGTCCTTCTACTCGAGGAAAAACACTTCCCGTATCTCGCAGCCGTAGAACGCACTGTAGGATTGTATGTGCACATGGGGGATGACGTTGTGGCCATCGTTCCTGGTACAATCTATCGCCGCGAGCGCATTTTCTTCGTCTACACCATGCACTAACACCATATCGACACGTTCGGAAATAGTAAATGCATTTGTTTTCTGGGTTCATTGTAAAACTAGTTTGTGCACAAACTAAAAAATTAAGCAAAGTAAGAAATAAGAATTTCGTTTTTAATGTAATCGGCACGCTGTTCTTATTTTTTACTTGTTTATAAAGATTACACTATCGTGGAATTACAAAATAAAAACTTTTGTCTGGAATCTTTCACTTTTTAACACTGATGGGTCGATGGACAATGCTTAATATTTAATAATTAAGTCAATGTACAATGTAACCTAACCTCTTTTTAGTATTATTAGTATTAGATTATACTGACTTAAATTATAAGGTTGCATCTCGGGTCGCATAAAAACATTTCCAAAGTTTTTAGTAAATAACACTGGGTCGGCCTTCATTTTCGTTGAATAAATGAACTTTAATTTACAAAAAAAAAAAATATCGAAGATAGATTTTTTTTTCGTATAAGACCTCTTTTATGCACGCGTTTTTCTCCTCTCAACGCGAAATTGAGAAAAACACGGCATATTTCTGCTCCATTTTATGCACGCGTATTCTATCAGTTGTCGCCAGTTTCATGCCACACAGTAGTCAGTGAAGTACATGAAAATGGATCCGTGTATATTGTATTTGTGCTATAAAAAAATATGTAATAGAAAACGTAAGAGGCGATGGGCAGTACATCCAATTAATAGAAATAGAATTCAATTGCGTCCATTGCATCCATGTCCCGCTTGATCAATAGCTAAACTAAAACTAAAACAAACTGTACTAAAACTATTCTTGACAGACAGAGCCACTGGACTTGCGACAAGGAGCGCTTTGCATAAAAACCATCGCGACAGAATTGAAAACGCGAGAGCAAATAAACGAGCGTAAAATGCATAAACGTAGTAACTCGATTCAGGGTATCTTGAAACGCGGCGTTTTTGTCAACTCCGCGTTGAGAGGAGAAAAACGCGTGCATAAAAGAGGTCTAAGAGTTTTCTATTACAAATATCATCAGGAAGCCGTAGTTTAATTTTTATAGATTATACACGCCACGCCCTGTATTGATAAAGTTTAATAACTCTTGAATTAGCTTTCTAAACTATGTGTGGTATATAGA